CTCGTATTTTTAATGTACACAAGTAGAAATAATGAAGTTTATGCGTCATTAGGAAACAGTCAAAAAAAACTTTACGATATAGAGGAACGATGGCGGGCCAACTGCTCAACCGTGAGGAACCAGCTATACTCCTGTCTCTTATACACATCTAGATGTGTATAAGAGACAGGTNTGGAATGAGAAAAGTTCGCGGATAGACCAGTCTCAGAAATCTACAAACTTGTCGTTCGATTTTCTTTTTATCCAAAATCTAGAATAGAAAACGACGTATCCAAAAGATTGCGTGGCAGAAACTTATCACCTCCACAATATTTCTCTTGCTCTTCTTCGAAACATGAACGAAAAGTTACACCTACGACATTTTTCTTCCAAACAAAACAATATTATTTTCCAAAATCTAAAGTCTCTTTTTTAAACACGAGTAACCTTTAATTTCAATGTTTCTTACCAACTCCGCAGCACCGAAGTAAATCATTTCAGTCCAGCCAGCCTCATGTGGCGCTCGCAACACAGTCATTATCTCAAGCGGATCCATCACTCGACTCTTTCAGCCTTGCGATCCAGTTTTTAGTGCTCCGACTTTCTGAGATTGATGAAGAATTTCTGCGTGCGATTTGAAAAAGATTTCCCTAGAGTTATCCCACATTGCGGTTAGGGGTTCTGATCATTATTTATTGAACGAAATGTATTGGACTGGTGCGGTGTAGGGGCTCTGATCATTATTTATTGAACGAAATGTATTGGACTGGTGCGGTGTAGAGGTTCTGATCGTTATTGTTGAACGAAATTCATTCAGCTGTTGCGGTGTAAGGGTTCTGATCGTTATTGATTGAACGAAATGTATTGGACTGGTGCGGTGTAGGGGTTCTGATCAGTATTTATTGAACGAAATATATTGGACTGGTGCATTATAGGGGTTCTGATCATTATTATTGAACGAAATGTATTGGACTGGTGCAGTATAGGAGGTTCTGATCATTATTATTGAACGAAATGTATTGGACAAGCCGATTTCAAATTCCGTTATATTTTACGCCTCAGATTACGACTCTAAAATGTGGAGTACCTTTGCAACACCGTTGGGCCTGGTCCCTGAATCTGAATCCCTGCAAGCGTTTTGCGGAATTAAATTCTGGCTTGAAAAAACAGCACTCAATTGGCAGCATAAGTCAAATTCTTCTGAATTGTACTGAAGTCAACGTGTGGTGGTCTAAAAAAATTCATTATTGGAATTGGGATACGATTTCTTGCTCTGGAAAAAGTTGGATTCATTAATCGTATGTTTTTACGAAATATTTAGTATTACCTGCAGTGTCATGACCCAAAAATTGTGAAGAGACGGGAGTGCGTGGACCAGAAAACTAAATTTAATGCTAGGTTTGATTTTAGTCTCGTGCAAAATACCATATCATTTCAATTGCTCTGTTTCCGTAAGAATAATTTGATTTCATTACGATGCCAAATGGGTCGCTTCAAGTAAAGGTATGCAAATTAGAGGCGAATCTTCCAGAAGGCTGAAACAAAATTGTTATTTAGGCTCTTCAAAGTCGATGTGAAAGTTTGGAGAACAATTTCAAGTTCAGTTTGCGATGCTATCAATGCTTGATGTTGTGATAAAAATGTATCTAGATGACTTTTTTCACACTCCACTAAAAGAACTCGACACACTGCATTGATAAAAAATGCTATCACCTGCTATGGTGAATGAAGTTTACATTTGATTAATTAACGAGTGCCACTTGTTTTTGCGTGTTTGATTACCGACACGACCTTAGCCGAAGCCTGCAGTTACGACATGAGGGGAATAGTCTTATTTCTTTACTTAATGAATTAAAGAAAACAGGAGCTTAAATTTTATGTTATTTTCAGTAAGATAAATAAATTTTTTACTCCCGTGAATTTTTAGAATACGAGAACGTTGTTATTTGTTCTTGACTTTCCATAAACCCTGGAAACATAATTTGATTTAGGTCAAAATAAAATAACATATGGTAAACTGACATGTTCGATATCGACGTTTTTTTCAAAGAACTAAATACTGTACACTGTACCTACTGTATCACTTCAATCTCGCGACATCATTAGAAACGAACACACCGCATCGTGAACAAAAAATTACTAAAACTAATTGGCCGAATTGGCCCGGCAAGTGGCAGGGCTGAACCTGCTCAGCAAAAGAAGTCAATGGAAGAGTCTGGAGGCAATCTACTGAGCTAATCAGCTTCCGGGTGTTGCCAGCTGCGGTGCCGTCAGCATAGGCGCCTCCTTCCTCCCAATTGAGATCAAATAAGGATTATTTTGGAGGTTATCAAACGAGTCGCGTGCATAGACTTTCAGTGAAAGGAAAGCTACATTAAATCAATTATAAAATGCTAAAATTATTTGGTTCAGAATAATTTGTTTATTCTCTGAATTCTCTTATAATGTTTTACAAGTTAATTCACGACGTTTGTGCATTTATGGTGATGGTCTGAAATCCTCATCCCCCTATATATGATCCGCCAAGAAGTATAATTTTGTAGGTAGTAAAAATAGAACTTTTGCTCAGAACTTTTGCATAAATTTAAAATTTCTTGAAACCGGGACATGCGTTAGGTCCTGAAACCGATCTTGATCGCTCAGTAATTCCACTTCTAAACACTTTTGGTACACGGAAAACAAATGCCTAAAGCCGCGTATTTATTTTCTCTGAATCTTCAATTTACAATATCTTCCTATTTTTTCTATATTTATTTGCTTATCTACGTACCGTGTCCACTTCCGGACCTCTTCCAGCATTGAGCTTCGACGCATTCAGACTGCTGAATCCAGATCTCTGTTCAATCAATTGTTCTGGATTACTTAATGAAATCAGTGTGGCTTGTCCTCGATGTCTGACTGGCGTGATTGACGAACATGTTCGTAATCTCGGGGCTTGCTTGTGTCAACTTGGCCTACAGTTCGCAATCTGAGTGAGTGCTACGCACGAGCATCAGCTATGTTGTGTTGCATGCAACGACTGTCCGGACAGTGAGAGCTGTCCGCAAATACCTGTAATAATTATTCAACGACATTTTCATGAAGATTTGGCTAAAATGTAGGCAATATGTACAATTTTCGCATTTTTTTCAAACAAAATTTGTCAATTTATATATAATTTTGATCAAGAGAGGACGATTTGGTTCTGATTTATTTTCTTTCGTCGTATTTACATAATTTCGCTTTTTATTTTCATCAATAAATGAAAGCAGATTCGTTCTCCCGCTGGAGACGCCTTGCATAAGTCACTTGACTGACAGCCTCTAGCACTGACACAAGTGCTTCAAGCAAAAGTTTTTCCTTTAACTTAGCTGTTTCGCAGCAAACAAAGCTCTTCCATTCTTTAACTATTGGACCATCCTTCTTGCTTCTGAACTTTGAGAAAGTTACCCGGTGCATGTTAAAAAAAATTGTGCGGTCTTTTTGTCACTTGGATTTGAAATTCACACTTTTAGAGTATATAATTTAAAAAGCGGCATCATATGAATAGTACCTTTTACTGAAAACACAATAACAAACTGGATGAAAATTTGTTAAATTGGCCGCGAACTTATGAAAAAACAGTTTTATTTCAAACCGGTCGTATTAATATGGATGAACATATATACCTCGCAAAAAAATATGAAAATTATGAACCCACAATAGTTAAATATTTATGAAATATGTTAGCGACCAGGCTTCATGCTGTAATTAACCGTCTGGTGCCTGATAATGCAGTGCGTCAAGATGTGTTGCATGATTTTCATGCTGCAATATTCTCTTATTCTAATGTTATGGCAAGGAACTTCTTCTTGAATGTAATTAACCGTCTGGTGCCTAATAATCCAGTGCGTCAAGATGTGTTGCATGATTTTCATGCTGCAATATTCTCTTATTCTAATGTTATGGCAAGGAACTTCTTCATGATCTGCATCTCGTTGAGTTGAAGCCTGAATGTCTACTTGGCTCAAGCCCGCTTCATGGGGGCTGAATTCGAGGTAATCGCAGCACGCTGCGAAATTTTGTTCAATTTTACATATATTTTTACGCATTCAAAATATTTTTACCTATTTTACAAATCTCATGTTTGGAATCTCAAATGCTTATAAGTTCATATTTGTATTTCCAAAGTTGGGCTGTATTGCACAAAAGAAATAAATAAATACAAAAATATAAAACGAGCCTAAATGAGGGATCTTGAATTGAATAAAGATCACCATTATAATAACAATAATTTGTTGTACTGTAGTGTTAAACATTCACAATTTTTTCACAAACTGGAATTGATAAAATAAATTAGCGGGGATGACGTAGTCTTCCCTTCCTTTTAAAGAGTCTGGCAACCGTTGGAACTCAAATGTCGCATTGGAAACTCCAGAAGAATGATTGCATATTCAAATCCAATCTTTTATAATTAGGGGAAACTTATAACGAGGGGAATGAAGGGCAGAACGGGAAGGAGGAAGCTTATTCGTTAATACAAAACAGCGTTATACTATGGAAATTGAGCAGTAAATATGTGACTTGAACCACGTAATGATATTGCGACACGCACGAGTTTTGAAACTTTCAAATCACACAGTCGAGAAATTTCTTTCATGATGAGCGAGGAATGCATAATTTTCCTCTTCTTACTCATGCGTTACTTCGAATTGGGATTCTGCATTATGAGCTCTTGAAATACATTTGGCTATTCACATGCTTCATTTAAAAATTATGCGATATTCGTCGCAATTTAATATCATTCAATTTAATTTCAGCTGTTAAAGTGTTGTTAAAATCATCAGGCGATGATGAAAAAATCTGTCCTTATAGTTGATCAAAATATTTTCGTTTCATGTCAGCAGTTGTTTTCAGACATCTACTAACATTTACCACCTAATTTATATATGCGCAGATGCTAACATCGACGTTAAATTATTCTGCGTGGTAAAAGTTTAATATTTATTTGGCCGCGTGTTAAAGAATGATAATGCATGAGTGTTCTTCACAAGAGTTATATATTAAAAGTGACTCGCCTTATGCCTTAGCGAACCGAGTCGCAACGGATTGGCGAGATGGACGCGACTGACGCTGGCACGTCGCTTGCCTCGCAGCGTGTACCTGCACGCGATGACGTCACGAACACACGACCTGAAGTTGTGGTTCATGAAGGAGTACAAGAGTGGGTTGAGGGCGGAGTTGAGGTATGTCAGTAGGTTGGTGAACGGTGTGGCTAGTAGTGCGTAGTTACTTACCGCTTGGTACCCATGGTAGTAATAAGACAACATCTTTCGTACGTGGAAAGGCAGATTACAGATCGCAAAACACAGAACGAACGCTACGAGCAGCTTGATCACTTTTCTCCAAGTTCTTATGAGCTCGTATGAGTGATAGGGCCCAACTCTGAGCACTGGGTTCTGGGACTGCATGGTTCTAGTGACATCGATTCTGTCGCTTCTGAAGCTGTACTTGCTGCTGGAGCTGCTCACCGCTGCCAGGCGAACGCTCAGAGGCCTGTTCTCATACGCATGCTGCTCCTTCTCCACCTACATGATGGAAGTGAAAAAAAAAAACATTGAAACAATCAAATCTAACGATTTAAATATAAATCATTAGATCGTGTTTGACTTATTTGGCACTGAATCAATTCTTTTAGTCTTAAAGTCTATTTTGTTAATTGGTTTTCGAAATACCTGATTAAATATTATATGGAGCCAATACTTTGCAATCCACCGATATCAGTGCTTGCTTGTCCACTTCAACTTCTAATGTTCAGTGAAACCCTAACTAGAATATTGACTAAAAACAAAAAAATATTGACTTAAAAACAGAAATGAGACCGAAATTATTTGAATCTGAAACAGTCATAATAAAATGACTATGAGAACATCCACAAAGCCTACCTGCTGCATGAAGAGCTGTCGCTCGCACCAGCCCTCGGGCGCTCTACCCGCCATCCCGGCGCCGCCCGTCAACTCCTGGCGGAAGCGTCGCTCGATCAGCGTGCCGTTGATCCACAAATAGCGCCCGATCTTCCAGTACAGGACCGATATCACCGTCAGGGGGATAATGTAGAGCAGCACAAAATTGATCGTGTCGTAGGTTCGCGAATCGTAGAGTTTTCGGTCTGCTAAACAAATTACCTCGACGACGTTGTTCTCAAGCTCGTGCGCCACGGCTTTGAAGAAGATCAGTTTTGGACAACAGTAAATGCCGCTTAAAATCCAGACCAGCGCCAGTGCCACCTGTGACATTATCGAATCTAATTAGACGTCAAGACGCAAATTTATATTAACATATTCTTTTGGGCTCTTAGTTTGCTCCTAATTTTTTATCGAGAAAACAATGTTTCCTCTATGATTTTTTTTCATTTTCCATGATGTTTGTGGTTTATAATTTCAGCATAGATTCCTTGCTACATATGAGAAAATTTTCAACAATTGAAATGAAAAACTGACATTTCATGAGCGATGGAGTTGTGAACAAAAAGGCCACCTTTCGCTGCTTGCCAAATCTAAATTTTAAATCATATTCTCAGTCGAATTCCGCACCATTAGCAAACAATAGAAGGTTGGGGACGGGAGACCCACTTCATATATAACCGCCCAAAGCTGTTTATATTGATAAAAAGACTATTCGTATTCAAAAGCTCATTTTCAAACGGTAAAAGAATGAGTCGAATCTGAATTCACAAACTGCATTCAGCCATCCTTCGAAACTTCGCGCAACAAAGCTTCATATTATTGTAATCTTTTTCGAGCGTTGTTAATTTTTCATTAGGTATGTCTGACAATGAGTCTTTGTGAAGCTCGATAAAAATAGGTAGAACGTAATTAGAACTTCAATGGACACACACGCGTTCGTAAAATTGTACGTGCTGATGAACAGACGTGGATGGAAGTTTTGAATGGAGTTATGCAATAAATTTATACTTTCGTTAGGAAATAAAAAAATATTTGGTCTGTGATGCTCACAAGCAAGTTACGGTGTCGGAGAGCCGTCTTCGCTCTGAAAGGCTTCATGATGGCGATGTACCTCTCAACGCATGTCACCATGAGCACCATCACGGACGCGGTGTACGTCAGGTGATGCACGAAGTTGTACATCTTGCACAAGAAGTCCCCGAATATCCACCTGCCCAACGACAAACACACATATGCATGACAAAAGTGAATAAATAATATGGTGATGTAAACATTCTACTAAGCTCGTGCTGAGGCCGAACTGAGCTTCATAACGATGGTTATTTCTACTGAAGTGATGACTTAATTTGTAAAAAATGGTAAATTCAAATAAACACAGGCGTCGGTCGACGCCTAGCCTCTAAGTTAAGGTTATTTTCAAGTTAGGATAAGAGCGCTTACGACTGAGCGAGGTAAAGCCCCAGGTTCTGCAGGACGCAGAAAACGATGACCCCGAGGTCGGCCACTGCCAGGTTCGTCAGGAAGAAGTTGGTTGTGGAGCGCATACGAGGGTGAAGATACATCACCGTCAGCTCCACCAAGTTTCCTGGTGACATGTGGTGACCAGTATGGAGGGTGGAATTCTAGGAGTGGTGATTCATTTATTCAAGATTGATCCAGTCTTCTAACGTCATCAGTTCCAAAATATCAGTTACATTTAAAAAGGAAATCTTGTTGTGGGTTTTTAGATTCAATATGATAGGTGAACTTTTTCCAATGTTACCTCGGAATTCCTTCCTGCATTGCCAGAATTCCATCCAACCTATTAGCATTAGCAAATTTTATTTTATTTTTATTTTTATTTATTTTTTCGCTCCAGTCAGCTGCATGAGGTTACGCAAAAGGAGTTAAATAAAAAATTCCTCATCGTTTTCATACACTTTTTCATACAATTTAAATTTAAAAAAATTGCACGCCTAACGTTAAAGTCTGAATTAAAAAATCAAAACCAAATGCTAGGAATGACATGACGTATCGGAACCAAATAACATTTACTTTAGTTTGCAATGAAAAATTCTTCGAAAAAGTTCTGGAGTTACGTCGGCTAAATTTTTGAAAAAAATGTCAAATCAGTTATTCATTAGGCATTTCAAGCATTAGGAATTTACATGCTGATCTCGATAAGAGTAGTCTCTCGAAATATCTTTTAGTCAACTACCATGAGAAACAAACCATTCAAAACAACCGAGAAATATTTAAATTTTCTTTTGGATCTGAATTAAAAAAAACTTCACTAAATCTGAGAAACATTGCGCTGCTGTAAAGCTAACAGTCGCCTTCCAGCAAGCGTTTATTGTTAGCAGTTGCATTATATAGAGCAGTGCGAGTCGACATCCAGGAATTTGTTCCGTGGAACGTGGCGAAACTTATTTCATTTAAAAAAACTGCTGGAAGCATTAATACAAATGATTTGTTGGAAAATAATCTCGATTCATCTCTTACTTATCTGCCATGTATTCATTGTTTCTTAGAAGGTGTATTTATAACAAAACATGCAAGTCATGGCGCGGCGAGTTTTCCTAGAATTTATTTGCCGTCTTTTTTGTTTAGATTTTACGAAAGGTAAAAAGTGGAAGTTGTATAGTGTGTTAGACCCTGACGTGAATTATTAATGTCAAACATGTGAATTGATATGAATCGATGTGAATAATATGTTCACATGTAATATTTGATTAATATGTTTATTACTCAAATTTATGAGTACATATTTGTGCATATTTTAATCTCAAAAGAAAGCCTCGAGACTAAGTTTTCTACTCCAATTTTAGAGCAAGAAATAACCACGCGGATTGTTCATGCAGGTTGAAGGAGTTGAGTGCAATAAGTTGATTTTAGTGTATGTCAATCAGTGACCAGAATACTATACGTTTAAGTAGGCTGAATTTGAGTGCCCCGTTGGCCCCAAAACTTTATTCCCATCAGTTTATACATATTATGGCACACGCGTTGATTATTCGTTCGAACATTCGCTCATGTTTTCAATAAAAATGATTCCCCTCAATAAGCTAATGGGAAGTTTTGGGAAGCTAATATGTTTTCCCCTCAATAAGCTAATGGGAAGTTTTGGGGTCAACGGGGCACTCAAACTCAGCCTACATAATCGTACAGTATTCTGGTCACTGATTGTTACGCATTAAAATCATGATCTTTCAACCTGCATAAATAATCCACGTGCTGGTTAGATATGTTATTTCTTGCTCCACAATTTGAGTAGAAAACTTAGTCTCGAGGCATTCTTTTGAGATTAAAATATGCAATAATTAAACTTTGGACCATAAAGTAGAGTAATAAATATATTGATCGAATAATATACGTGAACAAATTATTCACATCGATCACATGCTCCATTGAGGAGCCACGCACTCCTCATTTAGCCACGCACTCCTCAATTAGCCCACTCATATTTGATTAAGCCATATACTCCCCATTATGAGCCCACGCACTCCTCGGCTAACCAAATCATTTTTTATTAGCCCATGCACTCCTCGATTCGCCTTTATTAGCCCATGCACTCCTCGATTCGCCCACACAATTCTCGATAATCCCAGTTATTCCTCGATCTACCCTCGCGCTTCTCGAAGGGACCAATGCACGATCGAACAGAGACTAATCAAAAAGGCAAGCATCGATGAGAAAATTTTTTACTTGAATGTAGGAATTCAAAGCACACGTAATAGTTACCATCGTCTCACATGTCGGACACATGAACAATATTATTCACCAGAAACCGAAACAAATGAGTTAAAGGTCATCAAGGAGCAAATTAATGGCGCAGGTCGGGATTTATCAGCTCAAGGACGATTCTTCATTCTGCTGCAGATCTATGGATGCGATTATATGCCGGCTATTATGATCTTGTAGGTTTGCCATCTACTTTTATTTTCTGCAAACTAGATATCGTGCCAAGAACATGGTAAACATTCGACTAATGTAAGAATTAATTGGTCGACGCGACATTGTAACTGTGTATGAGAGACATTGAGATATTTATAATAACATTGTGCTAAATTGTAGAAGTTATACTCAGATAGAAAATAGGTTCGGGCTGCTTGTCACATTTAAGCCTTCACCAGAACATAAGCAAGAAAATGACTATTATGATCACAGTTATTAATAACATTAAAAATTTAATTATGTTAATTTATATTAATTGTCCAATAGTTAACAATGATTAGCTAAGATTAATAGTAAAAAATTATAGAATCATTAAAAAAAGATGTCCTTTCGTGACATAAAATTTATCCCGTTATGCAAATTGCAAACTTTCGTCTAAATAATTCAAAGCCCAACAACAGTTGCAGGAAGTCAAATAATCTCTTCGAAGAAATTCCTACGAAAATTCCTGACAGAATACCTTGCCGGACGGGCGACTCATCGTCCTAAGGCGAAAAATCTCAAAGATCTGCAACTTGACGAGAATGTTTGCATCGTTCAAGTTTCAGAAAAGCTGAGATCTATAGCTAGAAAGCTCCAGATTATAATTTATTTTACAGCTATAATACTCGTTCTTTAATTCACAAATACAAAGGCAATAGAATGGCAATACGTTGGTTTGCGTAATATTTTCTACAAAAAAGGCTGTTAGTCGTTCTTGATTGTGTGATAGTAAAATCTAATTTAAGTTTCAGAGTGTAATAATATTGTCCATAATATTTACAGTTTAATATTATCATAACAGCGTTATATGTAGAAATGTTATTACCTGAGCTTTATTAATTCTAACACGTCGCCTCAAACAAATTCGTGGAATCGTTCCCTTATACCAACAACACTCTACTCCATTGTTCGTTTCCCATCAATCAGAATATTAAAGCAGGGGGCAGCCTGATAATTAGAATGATGTTTCACTACTAAAACTTGTACAAAAACGACCTCGACTCTGCTCCCACATGCTGTGTTTATAAGCAGATCAATTCAAGAGGAAGCACCTCATCAGCTTGGCTCTATCCATGAGTGATGGTCCTGCTAATGGAGCTGAGGTCCCGCCGAATTAAAAGAGTTCCCGCAACAATGGACGAATGGCTCGAGCAAAGCATAAAATTTTTATGTCTAGACAGTAGAAAGCGAAGCATCTTAAACACAGGCATTTTACGACTAACTGGAGGAGACTTCAGGACAAATAAAAATAATTTACTATTACAATGGTTACTTATAGGCCTGCATTGCACCTACATATTTTACCAATCCCATGTATGGTGTTCATGTCTATTTAAGTAAAGTACTTAGTATTATAACTAAGCAATATATGTCCACTCACCGATCAGTCCCGTCAAGAAGACCATGGAGTAGAGGGCGATGAGCAGCCAACGCACGAGAGGCATATCAAATATGTACGGTTGAGAGCCGTCCTCGGAAGACGCTTTTGATTCGTGAATCCTCATCCGAGGAAATTGTGTCGTGTTAATAAGACCATTCTGCTCAAAAATCCCAAGACGCTTATAAATCGTTTCGTTCCTCAGAAGTGAGAAGTATATCCAAGAGTTTTCCGGCAAAACGTGCTCTGGTTTCTTCGCAGAGATCCGGGGATGATGATTATTCAAAATATATTCGTTGTTCAGTGATTTGTCCGGAATAATTTTGAAGCGCCTAAGTGTGGCCGTTCTGTTATCTCTTGGGAAGTTATTTGTTCTGAACAGGATTGGCTTTTGTTTATCACGTTTCAAAATATTTTCACTCGATATGTTCACGTTTGAAGAACCAGTTTGGTTCTTTCGAATTTTGACATCAGCGTTGTCAAAACTACCACCGTTACTGTCAGTCGTCCGCGCCCGAATCGAATTTTGGATACTGTAAGGGAAGCTGTTAATTTCCTGGGTGTTGTCCGTGGGATCCTGGAGCACATCAAGCGTCCAGTTGTTGGCGTCACCGTAACGGCCATTCACCGGGCCCGAGTTGATGGAAGGACTAAAGCGGGATGAGCTCGAGCTGACGGTGGAGCTGAAGGACGCTGCGCTCGTGCTGGCGGTGGGGCTGAAGGACGCTGCGCTCGTGCTGGCGGTGGGGCTGAAGGACGCTGCGCTAGTGCTGACGGTGGGGCTAAAGGACGCTGCGCTAGTGCTGACGGTGGGACTAAAGGACGCTGCGCTCGTGCTGACAGTTGGGCTGAAGGACGCTGCGCTAGTGCTGACGGTGGGGCTAAAAGACGCTGCGCTCGTGCTGACGGTGGGACTAAAGGACGCTGTACTCGTGCTGACGGTGGGACTAAGGGACGCTGTACTCGTGCTGACCATGGGACTAAAGGACGCTGCGCTCGTGCTGACGGTGGGACTAAAGGACGCTGTACTCGTGCTGACGGTTGGACTAAGGTACGCTGTACTACTACTGACGCAGGGGCTGAAGGAGGCTGCGGTGGAGAGCACTGCCACTGTTATCACGGCTACGCTGCCTGCCGATATCTCAGCAGCAAGGTACGTCGGAGTAGAAGGGCGCGTAGAGTTAACCGAAGGAATAAAAGCGGGTGAAGAACAAGGGAGCGAAACGTTGCCGCGTAAGACGTCAGCATACCAGTTCATGTAGGATCCCATTGCGCAGAGAAGTGATTTACACGTCAGTGAATTTTCTTCATCTTTTCGTACTTTACCACATTTTGTGCTCTAGAATCTATCGCGATGAATATTGCGAGTCTTACTTCCGGAAAAACTTTTAATTAAATGTCAAATAAAATAAAAATAATTTATTAAAAGCTCTTAAAGTATTCACTTTTGCTGCATATCATTACATTTAGTTACTATATCGAGGGGATTAATTCATAACAAATTTTAGGCAACAGTCTCGTTTGAGCAAAAAAGCTGCGTTCAACAACAGTTCAATTCACTTCGTTAATTGAAATTCTATTATAATTTTAATTCAGTTCATAAGAAAATCGTAAATTTCAATAAAACTACGTTAATATAAACGTTTTAACTCCGTGTATCAGTTTAATGTACAAAAAAGCTGCTTTATATTATTCAAAATGTACTGGAGCAAAATTATCAGTCAATTTGAGTCTTGTTTTCTTCCCGTTATCATTCTGAAATTATACCACATGACGCTCTTAATGAACGTTTCGGAAAATATTTTATTGAAGATCAGATGATGAAGATAAATAAAAAAAATTAGTATAAAAATATTGATTAGTTTGTAATGAGCTTCTAGGAATTGGTGGTCGGTCGCTTCCGATACCCGAGATGCCTCCACACGTAATGGATGAGAGCTTTTCTCATCATGCTGAACTTTCTAAAAAAAAACTACTTTTCCCAATAAAAATTTTTCAGAAATAGTCCCACATGGAGTTTCTGAGTCAAATTATGAAATTAAATTCGATACTTGAATCATTTCGAACTGTCAGTTGATTGATTTCGTTGAACTTATCGCTAGTTGAATAAATAGCCCGGTGCTTTTAAAACAGCGACAGTTCTAACAACAAAATTTGATTCATTGAATTGATTAGGAAAGACCGTAGCATGCACTATCTGCGTGAACCCCGCTGTCATCATGCTAGTACAAATTTGTATTCTAATTGCCCTTTAAATAAGTTGGATTGCAGCGAGTGTTTACTTTATCGCACCACACTGTTAGAAAAATTACCGTTAACGGTATTACCGGCTTTTCAGTGGCCAGTCGGCGCGTGAAAAGAAACACCATGTCGCCGTTTTTATTCTAATTTAACACTAGAAATCCGTAAAACATCTGATAAAAACGGAGAAACAGTTTACTTTCACGGGGCGACCAGCCATGCACTAGAACGCCAGTGGGACCGTTTTTTCTCAGTTTTTTTTCTAACAGTGCAGGGGGATGAGTCAAGCTACTAAACACAAATACAAACTGTTTATTGTCATCGAATGTGTCTCCTGAAAAATTTATGTATTCTGCGTTATAGAAATAAATGTTTAACATTATAAAGAATATACCTGTGAGGAATAACAGCTAGGATTATTTGGATACGGACTGACCTTATCGTAAACATATTCAGAATTCATCCAATCAGTTCTTGCTACTAGTACATCTTCATAAAAATGTTTCTTAATAAACTACCCGAACGATTTTTTTATCCAAAAATTAAATTTTATTGTCACAATCTATATTGTCACAATCTTTATCCCAATTGATAAATGAATTTCCATGATGAAACTGGCCTCTCTGATGAGGCAGACGTTTTTTCTCTGCAGCTTATCGCAGTACAAACATCGACGCTTTAACAGCGATCGCTCTACTCAAAGTTTTGTTCTTAATAGCCACTAATTGGCTAAATTATTAGGCGTAATACCCACAATCAATTGGACAGGTCAAATTGTGTCATATATGTATTATAAGATTTGTAGAAGACGAAATAATTTTTTAATTTTTTTAATAATGGAAAAAAAAATTTCAATTCATAAAATTATTTATTCCATCAATTTATTCATGCATTGTCTCCAACTTTACGCAAATGTGCCGAATTTCAAATCGATTGGACAGGTAGAAGTGTGTTAAATATCGGTTATAAGATTTGTAGCAGACAGACAGACAAACAAACAAGAAGTGAAGTTAAAGAGAAGTGCTGTAAAAGATAGCGAATCCCCATAGAGTGTGTGCGAAGCGCCATTCTTTGTGTGAATTTTACAAATAAATACTATGCAGCAACAACGATTCCTTTCGTCATGTGCCCAGTCAAAACCAAAAGCCTTCAAGTGTGGTTACTCAAATATTCCACATACGAAGAAGATGAATAAATATACGAGCCAAAATTCTTGTTTCTGTCATGGAACCAAGAAGTAAATTGCTCCCGCAACTGATAAAAAAATTCCTCAAACTTGGAGGGATAAAATGGAAGCAGCATTGCGGCATGAAAATTAACGACGGATTTTTTTCTCGCACAATAGTTTATGTCCGAATAATAAAACTGGAAATTCAATCTTTGAACTCATAATTTATGAATAATTTCTTCAAACAACGTCAGCGCATTCATTACTTTCAAACAAATTATCATGTCAAAGCGCGTATTTAAGAATGTTTTAATTAAATCTGAATCTAATGCCCCTGAGTGACAATAATTCGAGGTCATTGCATCTTCATTTTGTTATGGAAACCGTTAATGTAAGAGGTCTGCTAGGAAACAGTGGTCCAATTCATTGCAAGGACAAGTCATATACAGCGAGACTTTTGTCCGCGAAGTCGAGCGTTAATTCTGGAACAATGACCACACTTTGTGCCTTCTTTATAATCCCGAGGCAGATAAAAATTTAAATAAATTATTTATTTAATTTAATTCAATTTAATTTCAGCTTAATAAGTAATGTTAAAATCATCAGACGACGATGAAAATATCTGTCTTAGTAATTGATCAAAATATTTTCGTTTCATGTCAGCAGTTGTCTTCAGACATTTACTAATATTTAACGCCTAATTTATATATGCGAAGATGCTAACATCGACGTTACATTATTCTGCGTGGTAAAAAAGGCCCTTAATTAAAAATTAAAAATTGCCTTAAAAAGGGCAGGGTGGCCCAGTGGTTAAAGTTCAGAGTACCAAGATTGGAGCAGAGAGGCACGGGTTCGATCCCAGCTCTGTGCGTCAGTTTCTGGTCAGAATCGGCAAGGAGGCCGGGCGGTTAAGAACAGCAGAATTGTAGCAGTGAGTTGCGAGTTCGAGANGTCTGTCCGTCTGTCCGTCCGTCTGTCCGTCCGGCTGTGACCTCAAGTTTTCGTCGACGAGAAAATGCGCTCTCTGTCACTCACTGCAGTGAGTACTGAGTTATATTTTTTCTCTATTTGGCGATTAACCTTACAATAAAGATGAAATATCATTTATTTACAAAACATATGATGGTCGAAGATTGTACCAAAAAATCTTGAACAGATTGTCTCCTCCAGCCAGATATTGGTTCAGGGGTTAAACGAATCAGGATGCCGAGTGCGCAACCGAGATTGCCACTTTGCTTTAATAATTAATAGGAGCAGAATGAGAGCAGAATCAGAGCAGGATCAGCACCGGCCGACCGTCTACTATATAGTTATTGGTCACTCATTATTAAATTATAACTTTACAATATGGGTGTGGCTGGCAGNGCGCACGACTTTGTCGTCGAATTGAGCGGTCTTCGATCACCAAACTTCGCGTGAGCAACGAGTTCGTCTTGCCTGCGCCATCGGTTCGCAGCCTCGGCATTCTGCTGGACTCTGAAACTGCTATGAACCATCACATTGTCAAAGTCGATCACCACCGCTTGTTTTGGCGCTCTGCGTCGAATACGTAGCGTCAGCCGCAGTCTCTCGAAACCGGTCCTCGAGGCACTCGTGGTGGTGCTCGTTTTGACCAGGTTGCACCATGGTAATGCCACACTCTACGGACTTCCAACCACGGCACTTAATAAACTACAATCCGTAATGAACACTGCTGCGCTAATGGTGTGTAATAACAGAAAGTTCGACCATGTTACGCTGATATTTCACAAACTTCACTGACTATTGCGCGATCTTCACTGGCTATTGAGCGATCTTCACTGGCCGATAGTGCGCGATACCTGTATGCAGCAGCGCACGCAGTTCAAGGTCGCTGTTCTGACGTTCCGGTGCCTTCACGGTCTGGCGCCTCCTTACCTCACGGAATGTCTGCAGCGTGTATCGGATCTGCCTCCTAGAAGACGACTGCGTTCGTCGTCAACAACGGAACTCGTCGTTCCATCGACACGTCATCTACCGTCGGCGACAGAGCGTTCCTTGTCGCCGCCGCCAGAAACTGGAACAGTCTGCCGGCTTCCATAACACCGGCTCCTTCGCTGCAGGTGTTTCGTCGACGCCTAAAGACGGAAGTGTTTCGTAGAGCCTATGAACCAAGTGCTGAGTCATTTTTATCCGTTGTTGTTGTTGTTGTTGTTGACCCTCCCCGCCTCGCTTCATGGCGCGAGGCGGGGCCTAGACCCAGTTCTGGGGCCAGCCAAGTCGGTCGCCCAATTCATTGTTTTCTTAAAAGGTGTATATATAACAAATCATGCAAGTCATGGGCGAATTTTCCTAGAATTTATTTGCCGTCTTTTTTGTTTAGATTTTACGAAAGGTAAAAAGTGGAAGTTGTATAGTGTGTTAGACCCTGACGTGAATTATTAATGTCAAACATGTGAATTGATATGAATCGATGTGAATAATATGTTCACATGTAATATTTGATTAATATGTTTATTACTCAAATTTATGAGTACATATTTGTGCATATTTTAATCTCAAAAGAAAGCCTCGAGACTAAGTTTTCTACTCCAATTTTAGAGCAAGAAATAACCACGCGGATTGTTCATGCAGGTTGAAGGAGTTGAGTGCAATAAGTTGATTTTAGTGTATGTCAATCAGTGACCAGAATACTATACGTTTAAGTAGGCTGAATTTGAGTGCCCCGTTGGCCCCAAAACTTTATTCCCATCAGTTTATACATATTATGGCACACGCGTTGATTATTCGTTCGAACATTCGCTCATGTTTTCAATAAAAATGTAGAGAATAAAGCAGAGAGACCGTCGCAGTATGCGTCGCTCGATCAGCCCACGCTCTAGCGACGAGCTCACACACTCTTCCTTAGCCCACGCACGCCACGCACTTTTCAATTAGCCCGCTCGTTTTTGATTAGCCCACACACTCCTCGATTAGCCCACACACTCCTCGATTAGCCCGC